AAAGCGAAGAGGAACTAAAGAACCTCTTGATGAGGGTGAAGGAGGAGAATGAAAGAGCCGGCTTGAGAGTAAATATTAAAAAAAAAAAAAACTAAGATCATGGCATCCAGCCCCATTACTGCATGACAAATAGAAGGAGAGAAGGTGGAAGTAGTGACAGATTTCCTCTTCTTGGGATCCAAAATCACTTCAGATGGTGATTGCAGCCTTGAAATCAGAAGACAGTTGCTTCTTGGCAGGAAAGCGATGACAAACCTAGACAGTGCGTTGAAAAGCAGAGACATTACTCTGCTGACAAAGGTCTGTGTAGTCAAGGCTATGGTCTTCCCAGGGGTCACATACAGCTGTGAAAGCTGGACCATAAAGAAGTCAGAACATCAAAGAACTGATGCCTTCGAACTATGGTGCTGGAGAAGACTCCTGAAAGTCTCTTGGACAGCAACGAGATCAAACCAGTCAATCTTCAGGGAGATCAACCCTGAATATTCGCTGGAAGGACTGATGGTAAAGCTGAAGCCCCAGTATTTTGGTCATCTGATGCAGATGACTCATTGGAAAAGTCCCTGATGATGGGAAAGACTGAAGGCAGAAGAGGGCATTAGAGGATGAGATGGCTGGATGACATCACTGGTGCAGTGAACATGAACTTGGGCAAACTCTGGGAGATGGTGAGGGACAGGGAGGCATAGCATGCTGCAGTCCGTGGGGTCACATGGGGTCATGCAACTGGGCAACTGAGCAACAACAACAACAAACACCATGCATATTCCTGAATCATAGCATGTATCATATCATATTAAAAATGATCTGTTTTGCATTTCCCTGTCAGTACAGTAGTTAAGACTCCATACTTCCAGTGCAGGGAGCATGGGTTTGATCTCTGATTGGGAAAGTTGTGTGTGCCGCACAGCCTGACCCCCGCACCCCCCCCAAAAAAGCATATGTCTTCATGTCTGTCTCCACCAATAAAATCACTTTGAGAACAGGAACCAGGTCTTGCTCGTGTTTGTATACCCAGCACATAGCACATAAGAAGTCCTCAGTAAATGTTTGTTTTCCATATTTGCCAACCCTAGCCCCATTGTATATATGACTATGTCCTCAATAAATATCTGATGAATATATAAATGAATGACTTGGCAATTTATTGAAGAGGAATAAGGAAAGCAGAATTTGAAACAGCTGAGGTTTTTCATCTTAATAACAGGAGGATGGTGATACATTAAATGAGAATGGAAACAGAGAGGAACTAATTTCAAGATAAAGATTATTTATTGCTTCAGCATGAGTTGGTTTTTGGAGAGGTAGGAAAAGACATCCCTTCACAGCTTTTTGACAGATTCTTGAACAGGTCAACAGTTTTGGAGAGCACTGTGGGCAAGATGAATCTATTTATAAGTCATAATTGAAGGGAGATACAATGATGTGGCAAGGATCTCTCAGAAAGTAACAAGAGGGAAGAGAAAAAAGACAAGGACGGAATCATCAGGAATGTCTGCATTTCAGAGAGGGAAGTAGAAGTGTTCCCAATAAAAGAACTGAGCAACAGCCTCCTAGAACTGGAAAACCAATCAAGATGTATGTCATGAGCTCCAAGGGAAATAAGTTTTAAGAAAGGAGTCAGTTGCTGTCATGTGGTCTTGTAACAAGCAAGATGGTTCAAAGAGAAAATGCCACTAGGCTTCTTCTCTAAAATATAGCTTTAGTAGGCACATCTATTAAAACTATTTTCTAGAAGCTTGACAAAGAAGGAGGTTATAGTAATACAGGGAAGATTGTGAAAGTTTTTGTTTAATAATTACAAACGTACATGCATTTTGTAAGAAATTTAAGTATTCAGAAAAATATAGATTATAGAAATCTTTCCCTCGATAACTCTATTTCTACTTCTCTGGTTTGTTATTTATCCATCCAGAACTTAGAAAATATTTTTGTATATTTTTTTACAAAAATGAGATCACAGTATACCTTCTGTTATTGCAAATTGCTTTTTTCTAACTGTATACTATGTCATGAAATTTATTCACAGTCGTGTAGAGAACTACCTCATTCTTTTTTCTCTTTTTTCATTTATTTTATTTATTTTTTATTTGAGGTATAGTTGATTTACAATATTGTATTAGTTAAGGTGTGTGACATAGTGATTTAAAATTTTTATAGATTATGTTTCATTTAAAAGTGAAGTGAAAGTTGCTTAGTCGTGTCCAACTCTTTGTGACCCCATGGACTATACAGTCCATGGAATTCTCCAGGCCAGAATACTGGAATGGGTAGCCTTTCCCTCTTCCGGGGGATCTTCCCAACCCAGGGATTGAACCCAGGTCTCCTGCATTGCAGGCGGATTCTTTACCAGCTGAGCCACAAGGGAATTCCAAGTTATTTGTAAAGTAGTGATTATATCCCCACCAACTTTCTCCCACTTGGTGGGTTGTCTTTCGTTTCTTTAGTGGTTTCTTTTGCTATACAAAAGCTTTTAAGTTTAATTGCTGTTGTTGTTTAGTCACTAAGTCACATCTGACTCTTTTGCAACATGGACTGTAGCCCATCAGGCTCCTCTCTCCATGGGCAAGCAAGAATACTGGAGTGAGTTGCCATTTCCTTCTCCAGGGATAAGTTTAATTAGGTCCCACTTTCTTATTTTTATTTTTATTTTCTTTGCCTTAAGAGACAGATCCAAAAAAAAATATTGCTACAGTTTATGTCAAAGATCATTCTGCCTGTTTTCTTCTAGGAGTTTTTGTATATAGTGTGAGAAATTTTTCTAATTCCACTGTTGTTTATGTAATTCTGTGGGGTAATTTCTTAAAAGTACAGTTGTAAGAGGTTAGGTGCACTTTTATCTTGTAGTGACAAATCACTCACCAAAGGGTTATCCCAATTTGCAGTTTCCCCAGTGCTATAATAAAATCCTTGTGCCCACACTTTCTCTGACACTGAGTATTATTATAACTTTCCCGCTTAAGGGAACAGTTTTTGGATTTAGGTTTTTTATTTTTAATGAAACATCCTGTCTTATTTGTAATCCTGGGAAGCACAGAGAAGTTTGTAAGTGATAAGAAAAGGAGATGATTGGCATGGCATAGTCACAGAGGGCATGGGTCAAATGGTACCAAGAGTATGAGTGAAAGGTATGATTTTCTTTTGAGGTTTTTTTTATAATTTTATTTTTGGCTGTGCTAGGTCTTCATTGCTGCACAGGCTTTTCTCCAGTTGCGACAAGCAGGCACTGCTCCCTAGTTGTGGCTCACGGGTTTCTCATTGCAGAACGCAGGCTCAGGAGTTGTGGTGGTCGGGCTTAGTTGCTCCACAGCATGTAGAATCTTCCTGGATCCAGGATCAAACCTGTGTCTCCTACATTGACAGGCAAATTCTTTACCACTGAATCACCAGGAAGCCCCCTCTTCAGAGATGTTAATAGAGGAATACTAGATGGGTAAATTTGGAAGTAAATGCAAATGAAAGAAGAAAATTTTTGTATAGTCATCTTTGTTTAAGAGAAATTAGAATCCAGGTTCCTAGGATGGGATTTGGAATGAAGGTACAAACTTCTGTGTAAAATGGAACGGAGGATTCAGTATTGGGAATGATCAACACTGACTAGTATCGGGAGTGTGAGTGGCCTGAGAATGTATGTCTTGGAATCCAGTAGTCTTGGTGATGTTAACTTTTCTGTAAGAAGTAGAGATGTAGTTGTTGAATTTGCCAGGATTTGGGACTTTTGGCTTGAGGTAAATTTATTTGACATTCACAATGATGTAGTTTTATTCTCCCTATCTTCCTGCCACATGAAAAGTAGTTTTATGAGCTAAGATACACGTCCACTGTCAGGTCAATAAGGAAAAGTGACCCTTGGGTTCTGGTAAAAAAAAATTTAAGCTCATAAATTTAATACACTGCTTTATGCCCATATAAAACCATACTGCTAACAGTTTTAGTTTCTTTATACCACTCTGAACATAAAGCTATATAATGCATTGACTTTTATTAATAAATTATGGTGTGAGCAAACATTACTAAAATTTCTGATCTACACAAAACAAGTTCAGTGACTCAGACAGGTTTATGTGATTTGAATCCTGGTCAAGGGCCTCGTGGGATTCATAATGGATCTAGTAATACTCCATCAACTTGTTCTAGTCTAAAGATTGCCTCTCCTTCTGGGAAGTTTAAATATTCTAGTTTTTAGAATATTATTCTTTAAATAAATTCTTTGTCTTTATTTTAATTTTCACATTGTTTATGGTCATAGGGAAGACAAAATGAAAGTATCATGAGATTGTGGTGAGCTTCAAATTAGAAGGAACGGACTAGCAGAATAGTAAGAGATGCACATCATTATAACATTTCTCTCTAAAAAATGAAATGTTCCAAGAGGAATTGGTGCTAATGGTGGGAACATATTTTGCTAGAGAGAAAAACATATGCATGTGTGTTTATTTTCATTAAAATTTCTTTTACTCCATATTTGCCTTGTTGACTTTATAATGAAGTTATATGAGGACAGAGACCAATTCTCCCACATGCACTATAGTACTATTCCTCATATACTCTGGGTACATAATAAATACCATAGCAATCGAAAACAAGAAACACAAATGCATTTTGAAGAAAACTGGTAATATTTTAATCCCTTATGTTCATTTTTAGTACTCAGAAACATTTTAGTTATGCAAGTCTTGTTTTAGCACACTTTTTATTTCTACAGATATTCTGGTTCTTAGTCATAGTCTATGGCTTTATTAGCAGTTTCATAAGTCTGACGCTTATTTCCCCAACTCCAAATATAAACTTTTGAGGATAAAAACTACATCTCCAGAATTGTTTTGGCAGGACATAGAATAGGTCTTCAGTAAAATTTTTAAATTATGCATCAATAAAAAATAAGAAAAAGTTTCTACTGCCATGAATTGCATTTCAACTTATGCTGAATTTATATGCTTTTTTGTGGTCCATTCCCCCTTCCGTGCTCTCTTTAGCTCACTCACGTTTATTCTTTTCAGTTTATTGAAGTCAGAGTGTGATGACTGGACACTTGGAACATCACCATCCAGCAAAAAGTGCCAAGACTCCACTAACAGTGGAGGAAGTAGAAGGGATAAGAAGACAGTTGGGTTTCAATCGCAGATGGAAGATGATGCCCTGTGGACCAGTCAGAAGAAAGATGCATGTCGACCCCAAAGAGGTGAGCTCAGCATCTGCAGTAGAAAAATGGGAAGCTTTGGGGGTCAGGTTGCTAGTGGCCGCTAGCCATCAACTCCAGATGGTTTCCTGTAACCCTGGAGCAAGAGTTAAACATGTTACAAACCAGCATGCACCTGCAAGGCCACAGGTAGCACGTGTCCTGGATCAGTGAATTGCATCAACAGTTCCTCTTAGAAGACTCATGAGAAACTATCTAATGTGTCCCTCTTTTTGCAAGCAGCTAACTGTAAGGATTATTCAGCAGTAAATATCATCATAGACACAAAATAATACTTAAAACAAATAAAGAGGACCAGAAATTGAACATAAATCTTTGCTGGGAAAGTAAACTCTAACAACTGCAATTAATCCTCAATTAACTGGAAGTATGAGGAGAGTGGAAGAGAGGTCATTGTGGCTAAAACAGAACCTCGTAAATCTTAAACCTGTATTGCCTCGTAGTCTTTGAAGTACCAGTAATTCTTTCTATTTTATATGTGGTAGATATTTTAAGAGAAATCAGTTATAAATAACTATATGGAATATTAAGTGAAGCAGCTAAATTTAATTTCATATCCTAGTTGTTTCTGAAGTGACTTTTGGTTTAATCTCTCCTGGAATCATTAAAGGAAAGACTCTGGGACAGAGTGGAACAAGTCTGAGCTTCATTGGTCAGAAGACGTGCAGAAAGCAAAGGGCCCCAAAAGGTCTCAGAGCCCACTTCTGTTCACTCCTCTTTCCCAGACATCTTTCTTTCCTGTTCACAATCATTACCTCAATTTCCTCTTTGTTTACCTCTTTTTCCTGGGCTAGCTAGCACTGTCCACTGCTAGTGTTAACCAACTGACTTTTCATAATCTCTGTAGTCACTCTCACATTTATTTATTTGAGAATTGGACAGTGCTTTATGAGATCTTCCTGGGGCTTCCCTGGTGGCTCAGATGGTAAAGAAGCTACTTGCAATTCAGGAAACCTGGGTTCAATCCCTAGGTTGGGAAGATCCCCTGGAAAAGGAAATGGCAACCCACTCCAGTCCTCTAGTCTAGAGAATTCCATGGACAGAAGAACTGCAGTCCATGGGATTGCAAAGAGTCAGGCACCACTGAGCAACTAATACTTTCATTTTTCTGAGATCTTCTAGGTATACTCTCTGCCTTTGCTCATCAACTGCCAGCTTTATCATGTTTTTTGTTTTAATTATGATTAATCTAGAAACCATTTAGTCCTCTCCCAGATCATTAAAAGAAGATAATTAGTCCCAGTTTCACAATAGAGACTATCCACAGTTTGAAACAAGAGCAGAGATACATTTCATTTGACATAGGACATAAGTTCTTCAGACCTCTACTGTTTTAGGACAACTTGGAACAACTCTTGTCTTTTTAGACTTTGCTACCAGAAACAGAAATGAAACTGAGGAGACTTTGTATCTGAGATGGAATCTTGTCTACTTTGTCTATTGGTCATCCTTTAGAGATGGGACATTCTTACTTCTGGCTTCTTCTGTTCTTAGTCACTGCACTTTGGAGAGTGAGAACCAGTCAAAATCGCTGTGGCGGTTACACCACAAGGCTCAACATAGTCTTCTGTTAAACTGACAACAAACTTGTGTTGTGTGTCAGCACTAAAATAAAATAGCAATATGAGAAAAATGTAGTGTAATAGCAAAGGGACAAATAACTTGTGTTATTAACTGAGACCACAGCAACATTAGAAAGCTGCAATTGAAAAGGCACTTTGCGAGAGGTGTCATCAGGCCAGGCCCGCTGTGGAGGTTAATCTCTCCCAGGCCCAGCTACAGAAGCCGGAAGTCTACAAAGGGCTTGTGTCCCCCCTCTCCCCCTGCCCCAAAAAATCAATTTCTAATTTGAAACAAAATCATTTTTGACTAACAGGGATTCAGAACCCATTACTTTTTGCTGTGTAGTCTGCTGACATTTCAGCACTTTCTGTTGTGCACAATGAATCCTAATAGTCATTTTATAATGTTACTAGACCAATCAATTTAACCAAGAGAAAGCTGTTACAATTCTGCAGTTTCCAGGCACAGTTTTCACTCATGGTTTTATTTTTTTCATTACTCTTTTTTTCCCTTCCCCTTTTTTTGAGGGGTCGTGGGGGAGGATTATTGCATTACAGTGAGAAAAATAGAAAATTTTTCATCTTTTTAAAAGAGTTCTGCTTCAAGGTATTCACAGCAGTTATTAACTTTTTCTTCTACTCGTAAGAAATGCTGTCTTGTATTTTTCCCTTCTTTTATTCTAATATGGAGAGAAAAGCAAAATGATGGTATTTCTGATCACTGAGGAGCTGAAATTGCCCCTTCAAGCTGTTCTGCCCATTGCAGGGCTAGTGGTACACACAGATCGCAGTGCAGGGCGAGGTTGCTGCACTGGCATTTGCAGCGAGAGACAGACTTTCCCAAGGTGTGTGGTAGCAGGATCAGACACCCTGTTTAGCATAAGGCCAATGACCTAACACTAATTGCCTAAGTTACACTGCTTGGTTTAGCATCTCCTTAATTGCTTTCCCCCCCTTTAGCATGTCTGAATTTTTAAACATATTATTCTTCTGTTTCATATCCTTTGTTACTTTTGCTGTCCTTTAATCATTAAGTACTACATAGGACATTTACTGTAGGACCATTAATCTTTATTATCAGTCTCTTACTCCCTTACCTCTCCTATCTGCCTCACCATTCTGTCAACTTTATTAATACCAAACACATTTAAAAAAATAAATAAAGGCCTGATTCTTATCTCAAGAAATAACCTTGTGATTGTGAAAATATCAGTACAGTACAGTATTGTCAGGATTATGCTTGAGATGTAAATTGTGTTTCAATCATCAATGCTTGGAATGTTCTTAGTTGCCTTTATTGAGCTCTGTGGAACAAGGAGACTTACTAAGGAAAATCCAGACTTGAATCAAGAACTTTTAAGCTGGCAAAGGCCAGCACAATATCGTAAAATAATTATCTTCCAATAAAAAAAGTCATAATTTACAAAAAGAGAATTTTTAAGCCAAAAGCATAAATTTAAAAACACACACTCTTCATTCTTCTTTTTTCCTCCCTACTCATCTGTCTTTTTATTCTCTCCTAGCTTGCCTAGACCCTCTCCTTCCTGAACAATCACTGATTCTCATTCCAGAGTCAGGCTGGAAAGCCACTCCAAAGCCCAGTACTGCATTTAGAGCTAGCTCCTGTTTGTTTCTCTGTCATCAATTTCTCACTCCCCTTGACACCCTGAGAGGGTTTGAGAAAGGCTGAACCTAGAGTGACTATGGTTTTCATTCTGTATGTCCTCTAACCGATATGGATAAGAGGCTTATGGAAGCTTCCTGTTGGGAGAGACTGACTGGAGGAAACTGGGTCTTGTTCTGATGGGTCTTGTTTTAAGTCTTTAATCGAATTTTCTGTTGATGGGCGGGGCTGTGTTCCCTCCCTGTTTGACCTGAGTCCAAACTATGGTGGAGGCGATGAAGGTAATGTCGACCTCCTTCAAAAGGTCCCATGCACCCCCTGCCTCACTCAGTGCCCCTGGCCCTGCCCGTGGGCCACCGCCAACCCACGCCTCACCCAGAGACTCCTGGACACTCACAGGCAAGTCTGGGTCAGTCTCTTGTGGGATCACTGCTCCTTTCTCCTGGGTCCTGGTACACACAAGGTTTTGTTTGTGCCCGCCAAGAGTCTGTCTCCCCAGTCCTGTGTAAGTTCTGTAATCAAATCCCACTGGCCTCCAAAGTCAAATTCCCTGGGGGTTCTCAGTCCTTTTGCCAGATCCCCAAGTTGGGAAATCTGTAGTGGGTCCTAGAACTTCCTTAACAGTGCAAGAATTTCTTTGGTATAATTGTTCTGCGGTGTGTGGGTTTTCTGCTCGGTGGCTCTATGGTGCGGTTAATGGCGACCTCCTCCAAGAGGGCTTATGCCACAGGCTGTGTGACCCAGGTAGCTGCACCCAGAGCCCCTGCCCCTGCAGCAGGACCCTGCTGACCCGTACCTCTGCAGGAGACACTCAAACTCAGTTCTGGCAGTTTGAAAAATCAGAATACCAGAAAAACATCTACTTCTGCTTTATTCATTACGCCAAAGCCTATGACTGCATAGATCACAACAAACTGTGGAAAATTCTTCAAGAGATGGGGATACCAGAATACCTTACCTGCCTCCTGAGAAATCAGGTCAAGAAGCAACAGTTAGAACCAGACATGGAACAATGGACTGGTTCAGAATTGGGAAAAGAGTACGTCAAGATGGTATTTTGTCACCCAGCTTATTTAATGTATATGCAGAGTACATCATGCAAAAGGCCGGGCTGGATGAAGCACAAGCTGGAATCAAGATTGCCAGGAGGAATATCAATATCCTCAGATATGCAGATGACACCACCCTTACGACAGAAAGTAAAGAAGAACTAAAGAGCCTCTTGATGAAGGTGAAAGAGGAAAGTGAAAAACTTGGCTTAAAACTCAACATTCGAAAACCTAAGATCATGCCGTCCAGTCCCCTCACTTACTTCATGGCAAATAGATGGGGAAACAGTGGAAATAGTGACAGGTTTTATTTTGGGGGGGCTCAAAAATCCCTGCAGATGGTGATTGCAGCCATGAAATTAAAAGATGCTTGCTCCTTGGAAGAAAAGATGTGACAAACCTGGACAACATATTTAAAAGCAGATGCATTACTTTGCCAACAAAGGTCCATCTAATCAAAGCTATGGTTTTTCCTATAGTCATGTGTGGATATGAGAGTTGGACTATAATGAAAGCTGAGTGCCGAAGAATTGATGCTTTTGAACTGTGGTGTAGTAGACTCGAGAGTCCCTTAGACCGCAAGGGGATCCAACCAGTCAATCCTAAAGGAAATGAGTCCTGAATGTTCATTGGAAGGACTGATGCTGAGGCTGAAACTCCAATACTTTGGCCACCTGATGGAAAGAAATGACTCCTTGGAAAAGACCCTGATACTGGGAAAGATTGAAGGCAGGAGGAGAAGGGGAC